GCTCAATTTGCCTTTTAATGTGGCCACACTAACCTCATGAATGTTCTAGTATGGGATAAATATTTCAACAAGGACAGACATATTTTCCCTTATTCCTTCTTAGAGTATATGTTCTTGGTACAATGCTGACTTAACCATAGAGAAACCAGCATGTGAATGTACTCTACCTGAATATTGTGGAATCTTTCTACCATCTAAAGTCCTTTCAGTATCTAAAAGTATGGAGCTTATATGGTTAGAACTAATGAAGTGACTGATAGAATTTTACAAAAGAAGCCATCAGTATAGACCTGTGTTAGGTGAATGAAGAAGAAACAGTTGCAAGTCGGGGGTAGGGGGAAGTATACTTAACATATAGGACTATAAACCACAGCCAGTTTTCTATAATATATTTCATTCCCAATTTCATCTGAAAGAGGTATGATTAGTACTACCATTCAAAGAGTAGCACCTTACTGATGAGCTCCTGGAATGCCTTAGAAGTGGATTTCAGATTCAAAACAGACTGATCCTACCACACCTGTTGTATCAGTGTTCATCAACAACACAGGGTTTTAACCAAGAGATTAACTGGGTTGTAATTACCTGGAACTAAGGGGTGAATCCAGACTTTGTGGGGCCTGAACCTTATGAAATTTGTCAAGTGCCAGCTAATGAAAAAACATGCAAAATGTATGCATACAGAAGTTGCTAGGGCCCCAAGCAGGCCTTTGGAAGGGGCCTATGCAAGTGAGGAGCCCTAGGGCTTAGGCTCCACCCAATTCATGATAAATCCACCTCAGCTGAGGCACTTGTATGAACCTTTGTAATGCTGCAAAAAATAGTACTGTATTTTAAATTATAATCAGCCTCAGGACTGAGTAATACTGGTCATAAAATTACTGACATTTTAACTTGGCAACTTCCCTCTGTAAAAAGAAGTAAGTGTAGGGAGCGGCTAAAGCTGGAAGTTGGTCACATGTGTGGGGCCAAGGCAAGGCCTCTCCAAGAAGAGCACCTAAAGCAATCAAGCTGCTTCAGTCCTGAGAACACCTTGCCTGAGACAATTCCAGCTATGAGTCACTAGACAACCCTGTGTCACGTGACTCAAACTTTGTCAAATGTAGACATAAACGCCCCTATAACGGTTGAGCAGTTCCTTTCCTCCCATCAGGAGAGAGGGCTCTACCCGACCTCAGCTTTTCTCCCTTTCTTCATCTTTTCGCAATTTTCCCCCAGAAAAATCAAGAGCCCCACCAGCTCGTGGCAAATAGGCTTCTACAGCAAATGTCAAACCAGCTTTGTCTATTAGAAAGATGTGACCCAAAATAGAAGTGCCAGCCTCAAACACACACTTGGTGGATTGTGACCAATGTGTCAATCTTTCTATTTTTTCAGGGGATATAGGAGCTCACTATGTTGCCCAGGCTGGCCCCCAGCTCCTAAGCTCAAATAATTCTCTTGCCTCAGCCTCCTGAGCAGTGGGTACATGCCACACTTGGCTTACTGTGCAAATCTATCCAAGTAATTGTAAGGCAGTTTGAGAGGCACAGCTCCACCCAGATCAAATGGTATCAGTAATAATGTCCAACACCACTTAGCTCTCATTTTCTCATCTCCATAAAGCCATTGCCTTCCTGTTAAGATAAATCTTAAAACCAGACGTAACAAATGGCTGTCTCTTCCATTATGAGTCTTTCTTACCCCACCACCCGTCCCCACTTTGCTTCAGAAACAAACCTTCAGGATTCTTCTTCCCAAACTGGGCATCAGTAGAATGATGAGGGGAGAGAGAAGGTCACTACAGTTGAGGATATAGGTGAAGTTCACCAGGTGCAGGTGCATCCTAAGCCTCCCTCCAGGGAACTCAAAATGAACTGTGTGAACCTGGACTTTAGATCCACAAGACAGGTGGACAGTCTTTCCCAACCTCCAGTGGAGAGGGCAATTTTCATTTTGAGTCTAAAATCCCCTTCAGGCCATTAAATATCAGAATTTTCAACTGAAAGGAAATAAAGCCCACACTTCTTATCCAGAAGAGCAGGAGAGAAAGCATATGGAATTAGGCTAGAGCAATGTATCTATATTTTTCACACTATTACTTAACACAAACACCCAAGTTTTGCATGTCCTGAAGCTTCTTATTGCACACACATAATTCATAACTTTAGAAGTCCACACTTTCTCAAAATAACATTCTGAGTGTTTAGGGACAGAAGTACCTAGTAGCAGGGTTTCAGGAATTCTTTCTGCTTTTCCATTTAGAAGACCCTGGCACTGAGAAAGCACTTGTACCTTTTACTCCTTAGAGAATTTTACATTAAACTTAGTTCTTTGAAGGTCTCTATTGTATATATTTGAATAGTTAGAACTCTGCTTGTGAGAAGGAATCAAGTAGAATTTCAAGGATCACTCACATGACACAGCAGCATCCCTCAGCTCCCAAAAGTGTGAAGTAGAGTGTTACTTGTGTGATACCGTGTATTGCCCATGCCAAAGATCAGTATCTGGGAATGCAGAGCAGGCTACATAGAAGTTACAGAAGTCAACCCAGTAGGCACATGCCTATAATCCCAGCACTCAGGAGGTTGAAGCAGGAGAAATGTCATGTCTGAGGCCAGCCTGGGCTACACAGTGAGACGCTGCCACCAAAAAATGTTATATACAAGTCTCTTGGCCTCTTTGTACCTTAGTTTCCTCATTTGAAAACAATGAATGGAATCTTTGGCCATATCAACCTGAATGCACCCAACCTCATCTGAAAATAATCAATGCATCTTAAGACAGAATTTTCAGAGTTTACACAGAATTTAGACCCAGCTAAGGACAACTGCATGAAGTTAACACATAGATGTTGCTTTTAGTTTTTGTTTTTAGATGTGCTTATCATTTATTTCACTTACACTTGGTTTAAAAACTGCATTCCATGCCATGCTTCAAATGTCCCAAAGCTCAGTTCTGTGAGTAAATTGC